GACCAACTCCCATGCCTCATTTTCTGCAAAAGATAGCATCTCTTCATCCATGGCCCTCTTCCATCTGGCCGAGTCTGGTCTGGATAGAGCTTCTAACACACTGGATGGGATATCTTCCAGATCTACTTCCTGCTTCTTATGACATTGAAATGTCACATAGTCTTTGAAAACCTTAGGCTTCTTGGTTCTGTCGGATCGTCTTGGTGTACTTGGTATTTCTGGTGTGATCACTTTATCTGGAACAAACTCTGAGTCATTTGAATAATCTCCAAGGTCATCATCCAAAACATCATGGTATTCTTCCTCATCTGAGAGTTTATCTGGGAATTTACCTTGGTCTGGATCCCCCACTTGAGGTAATACCTCTGTCACAGCAATATCATTGCTTGGTGATCCTAAAAAATCAAAGTTTTTTAACAGTTTTGGTTTTTCATTAATGACCACATCTCTACTGGTAATTACACTCTTCTTAATGGGATCATAGAGCCTATAGCCCTTCACATTTTGACCATAACCAACCAAGAACATCTTCTCTGCCTTTTTGTCAAACTTCTGCCTTTTTTCTTTGGGTATATGAACCATTGCCTCACTACCAAAGATTCGAACATGGCTCACATCTGGCTTTTTACCATAGAAGAGTTCATATGGTGTTCTACCTTCAAGACCCCTGACTACAGACCTGTTCCTTAAGTATGCAGCAGTGTTGATGGCTTCGGCCCAAAACTGCTTAGGAAAATCTGCATCGAATAGTAAGCACCTCGCCTTCTCCACCAGGGTACGGTTCATTCTCTCCGAAGTACCATTCTGCTCTGGGGTGTAAGGATTTGTTTTTTGATGTGTTATACCATTACTACTTAAAAAGGATTCAAAGTCAGCACTACAAAATTCTCCACCGTTGTCAGACCTAAAACATTTGATTTTGTGTCCTTTTTGGTTCTCAACTAGCAATTTTAATTCTTTAAACTTATCTAGAGCTTCATTTTTGTATTTTAAAAAATAAATAAAAACCATCTTACTCAAGTCATCTTCAAGAACCAAAAAATATCTAGATCCTCCGATGGACATCATCTCCATGGGACCACACAAATCACCATGCACAACCTCGAGCAATTCTGCAGCACTATTTCCACTACTCTTGAATGGCAACCGAGTCTGCTTTCCCTCACAACACACTTGACACAGATTATGCAAACTTGCCCGCCCTTTATAATTCAAGCCCTCAACTGCTCCATCCCTCATTATACTCAAATCTCTAAAGTTGATGTGACCAAAACGTCTATGCCACAAATCACAACAGTCCTGATCATACATAGAGAACGCCACTGGCTGAGTCTTAACAAAATTAAGTCTATAAACTTGATTAATTAAATCAGCTGTACCACACTTGTACCTTTACTATTAAAAATCTCACAACCTTTCTGGTTAAAAACAACCCTGTTACCATTTAAAATCAACTGGCTAACTGACAGTAAATTGGTTGTAATATTGGGTACATAATGAACATTTTTAACTACAATGTCAAAGTTTTTATTGCTACTTACTGTAGTTAACTCTACTTCTCCAACACACAACACTGGCATTTTTTCATTGTTGGCTACTAAAATTTCTTTGAGCTGTATATCCTGGGATGTATTTTTTATGCAGTCATTTCTTGAAGTTAAATGCACACTTGCTCCAGAGTCAATATACCAATCTGAATTGTTAAATTCACCATTTAAAAAGACCGCACTAAAAGCACTCTTATCCTCCGGTTTTCTCTGCTGTTTTCGAAAACTTTCAAAATCCCTTTTCAAAACTGGGCACTTGTTTTTGTAATGACCTGTTTGTTTACATCCAAAACAAATCACATGTTCTTTATTGTCATTTCTAACACTGCCAGCGCCGTCTTTGGGATGTTTTCGGAACTTGCCTTGACTGGCAAAAGCACTACCAGTAGATTTCTCGCTGCCCGCGTTCCTACCAGCTCCATCTTTCTGCATATCAATTAACTTGGACTTTATTGCATCCCCTGTAATTTGAATTCCAGAGTGTTCCAGGGCCATTATCATTGGGGTGAATCTGTTTGGCAATCCTGCAAGCAACAACGAACCAATCCACTCACTAGTAATTTCGAATCCACTCCGAGTTAATTTCTGGGCTGTTTCAATCATCTGCGCTATATAATTCTCCATACTGTCACAATTATCCAACCGTAAACTTATGAGAGTTCTAAGTAAATCAATTTTTCGTATAAAAGTTTTCTCACCATACAGTTTTTTTAATGTTATCCACACATCCAACGCCGTTGTCGCCTCTCGAATATGCACATAAATGGATGGATCAATGGATAAACATAGCTTTGCCCTCGCTTTATTCTGCATGTCTGCATTTGTTTCACCATTTTCTTCCAGGCATTTCGATAAACCATCAAGCACAAAAACGTTTTCAATCGCAAAAGACCAATCATCATAGTTCTCGCGACCCATTAATTTTGGCACACTGGCTAAATAATTCGTAGCCGCCATTTTCAGTCCACAAAACAAACTGCGAATTTCACTCGACCCTACGTGACTACGTTACCAAAAAAACTCACAACTGATACCTTCAGGTTATAGAACTTTAAAACTGAATGCTGGGCCCATAACCTCTTGAAAATTATAGTGGAAGTGAGGATTTTCTGGGGTACATTGAAATAATAAACGCCATGTTTTGTTCGATAGCAACCATAGATAAAATTATACCTAGTGTGCTATGATAGCAACGACTTCTTCTTTATTTTAACAAGCAATATTGGCAACACGCCATACATCAAGTGTTTACAAAGTACATAGAAAGATGGCGCTACATGTATTGAAATACCTTTTTTGATATATCACAACATTATACAGTCCATTTTATTTATAATATGAAAAAGATTAATCTAATTGTTTCCCAATTTTTAAAATTTTTGCAAATTTTGAGACTTTTCTTAATCTTTCTAATACCATACTTATTATTTATTTAAATTATTTTCTATTAGGTATAAAATATTTATATTTATAATATTTCGTAAAAGTTGAATTTTGATTGTTAAAATAACAATAACTGCAAATATTATAAACGAGAGTGTAGGTCTGTCAACGCTGTAAAATTACTTTTTCTCATGAGACTTTAGTTATGTCGCAATATATCTGCCAGAGAATTTCTACGTATATGTTTTCAATGTCTAACTGTTATTAATATTTTTTTTATAGTTATTATGTATCATGTATTTGAAAGTATCATGAAAAATTAGCTAGTTACCTATGAATTTACCACCACAGTAAATTCTGCAGCTCCGAAAATAACGGGAATGTGCACTAAACGAGAGGTGTCCCATCAAGGCATAGGAGATGGCTGTTACCAAGGAAGATGGGATATCAGAACGTTGGCTGATTACTACTGGACCATGAAGAGGACCTCGTCCACAAAAATTCACAAAAAGAAAACTACAAAACGCAGTTTTCACGGAAAGAGAACGATTTTGTTAAAAAAAAACCAACGATTATCTAACGTAGATTTTACTGCATTGCTTTTTATGAACAACTCAATTTTGAAGTGTAATTTTTTATTAAATTTAGTTTTAATGAATATTTCCTCAGTATTTTTGTCAGTTTCTATGAAAAACTTCAAACACACTTTCCCTGAAAACTTGACGTGCTTGAGAAAAAAATAACAGGTTCGTGATCAGCATAGACCAGTTACTACAGTACATCTATTAAATTTAAAACACTTTTTCATGAAAAAAATGTGTATTTGTGATTTTTACGCCATCATCTTTGTACCAATTCGCACTTTTTTCTTATGGAACCGAATGATCCAAATAAAAAGTAAAATCTCAATATATTTATTGCGATGAAAGCTTGAAGCTATGAAAATTTTTTTGAGATGCATAACTCAAACTTTCTCTTACAAAAGGGTTTACTAAGTACTGTTGCCGAGAGGGGGCATTTGGGCCTGTAGGACCCATCGCCGGCTCTTCGGACTTTTTCCTGTCTCCGGAATTGGAACGGGTGTTTACTGTACTGTCTCATCAAATAGTTGTTTAAAACACTAACAGGACTTTAGTTCGTAAGTTCTCAATTTCCCTTTTACACTTAGTGACTCTTCCTGAATCGTTGTAGGTAAAATTTGTTTAGCAGAAAATGGATGACTTCAATTAGTGCGGTCGTAAATATTATTAAATTTATCTAACTTGAGCCATTGTTAAGACCTTGTGCTTCAGGTAAACCATTGTTACCTGAAACCGGGACCAAACCGGGACTTTTATACCTACTATTATAGGTTAACCCAAGATGTTTATATTCGGTACTAATTGAAGTCTACGATTTACTGCTAAACAAATTTTATTTGAATATGTAGCGTCAAGTTTTGTCCAATTTGAATGTAATTAGACAATTTTTTTCTTTTTCTTGAACGTTCTTCAGTATCTTGAGAACACATCTCTGTTTCTGTTTCTTTTAAGACATGAATTTCAACCATTCCCGAGACATCTTTAAGTGACATTATTTTCCTGTAGTTCCTTTTCGTCAATTTATTTTTCATCAAACACTATATCAACTCGTTCAAGTAAAAGTTCGACAATATTAACAGTATCTATTTCCTTATTATTATCACAAATCTAAAGTTCATTGATTAACTTTTCGAGTTCCTTGCGAGATAATACCCTTCTAGACATCTAAAAATATTTACATAATATAATTATTGTTTATAAACGCCAAATGATGAGGATATATGTTACTGAGAAACAAAATAAAGAATTACAACTATTAGAACTAAACAAATGAATGTCGTTGTAACTAGTTTGATACTCACCATGTAAATTCGATTCTGTGAAAGCATAGGCGCCAGATATCTTCATATATGGGGATCATGCTACTGAAGGTTAAGATAATTAAGTTTAATAAAGTGGTTCAATAATTTTGTTCAGGAGTTTGTTTTTAATTATTAAAATATACTAGAATTTAAACTGTATGAAATGTCCTCCAATTTATAAATTTTAGTTCGAGATGAACGAGCCGAGTTGGAGAGAAAACCCATCATTAATAATCTCGATGATCCAAGCTAATACCAAAAATTTGAGGACTCAAAACAAAGAATCGGAAAGTATAGAGAATATAGTAAACAATTTGAAATCAATCACGAGTAATATAACAAGGTAGTAAATACGTAAAAAAATAAAATACACACTAAAAAACTTTACTTATTTTTTTTTGCAGAAGTGTTATTAAATTAATTATAAAAAAGATTAGAATAGCTGTAGCATGTAGAGAACAAACCAAATCAGAAATGATACGAAGTTATGATAAACTAAGACAGGCGTATACGCAGCTAGGAAAGAGGATGGTTTGTGAAGGATTGATACCTTCCAAGGACTTAATCTACCATCTCACTCATGAAGAGATAGGTTCTTTAATACTCAATAGAAATCCTGTGTTAATTACTAAGTAAGTTGAAAATTAATTTATATTTGGTTTAAGCAGTAATCCTGGTTTTTGACTATAATTTTGAGAATAAAGAACATGAGCGAAAATAATTTGTTAATAATAATATAGTGTAATGAATTATATAATAATGTAATATGTGATAAATAACTGGGACGCTACAAAAACAGTTTCAGAACAACAGGAATATAGGTCAGTAAATGAACGTGAAATACGACGATACCCTGTAGTTTTTCTTGTTACCACCACATGCATCAAAATTTGGATTGAGGTTCTACTTACCATCCACTTTACTTTTGGACTTGTGCTGTTGGTTGCTTTTTATTTTTTACTGGTGAAAACTACCCCTACTAGAAAAAAATCGTATATTTGTTAATTAAAGCAGGATGTTGATTTAAATCGTCCTATAATGAAGAAAATGAGTGTCAATTAACATTAAACAACATAATCTAAGATTTTATCACAGTTTAAACCCCAAGTCTTACTTCATCATCATCATATAACGGGGGTCCTACGGCGATTGCCGCTTCCCGCATTTCAGCCTCCACCTTTTCCTATCTCTCCAATCTCCCTCTTCTAAGCCTCTAGATTGCATTGTTTTTGTAATTTCTCTTCTCCAGGAATTTGGTGGTCTTCCCCTTTTGCTTCTTTCTGGCGGAACATACATTAAGGCTTTCTTTGGCCACCGCTCCTCCTCCATTCTCATCACGTGACCATACCATTGTAATTGCCTTCCTTGTATTCTATCTGAAAGAGTATCTCTAATTCCTGTACGGTTTCGTATTTCCTCATTCCTGATTCTTTCCATTCTCGATACTCGACATGACCTAAGATAATCCATTTCCACAACGTCTACTTTATCTCGTTCATTCTTTGTCATCGTCCAACATTCGGCACCATATGTGGTAATTGGTTCTACAATTGCTCTGTATACGCGAAGTTTGGTATGCATCTTTATTTTATTAGACCACAGTAATGAATTCAGTATTCGGATGCATTTTTTCCCTTGGGTTATTCGGTTTTGTACATATATCTTAACTCTGCCATCTGCTGATATGATGCTTCCTAGATATTTATACTGGTTGCAGCCTTTTATGACTGCGTTTTCAAGCCTCAGATCTGTGGTATTTCCTCCAATTTTTAAATATTCTGTTTTGCTTATGTTTACAGTAAGCCCCCATTTGGCATATTCCTCAAATAATTTTCGATTCATATAATTTATATCTTCCTCATCGGTTGCAACCACCACCTGATCATCTGCAAACAACAATGTATACAGAGTTTCTTGTCCCACTTCGATGCCCATAAATCTACATTTATTTCTCCAATTCCTCAATGCTTCTTGGACGTATATTTTAAAGAGTGTCGGTGACAAACAGCATCCTTGCTTTAGGCCTTTAGTGACTTTAAATTCATTTAAGGTTCTGGTTCCAATTTTTACACAACTAACTGCATTTTCGTACAATTTATATATCGCTCGGATCTACGTCGAATCCAATCCGGATCTTTTGAGGACCTCAAACATTTTCTTTAACGGGACACTATCATATGCTTTATCCAGGTCTATAAATACCAAATGGGTCTCTCTACTTCTTTCGACACGCTTTTCAATTATTTGTCGTAGGATAAATATATTATCAAGGCAGGATCTCCCGGTACGAAAGCCGCTTTGTTCTTCAATATCTTGTATCTGTCTTTCAACCCTCTTCTTTAATATTCTGCCGTACAACCGGCCCACAGAGCTCTATAATTGGAACTCTAATACCTCTATAATTGGAACAGTCTCTTTTATTCCCTCTCTTATATATGGAGCTTATATAAGATTTATTCCAATCTTTAGGAATTTCCTGGTCTCCACACATACATTTATTGAAAAGGTCTACTATTAATTCTAAAAGTGCAGTCGGCCCATATTTAACCAGCTCTATGGGAATGTCTCCGGGCCCTGCGGTTTTTCCGTTTTTAACCTCTTTTAAGGTTTCCGTCAATTCAGATAATGATATTATAGGGATTTACTGTCTTTCGTCTCCGTTGTCTATTAATTCCCTTATCTTTTCCCATCTGTACTCTACTCTATCCTCTTTCAGCAGTTTCGTATAATATTCTTCCCATTCATTTAACTTTATGAGAGAAATGTTGTCTTCATTTTTCTCATTTTTCCTAAACTGTTTTAATGTTTTCCAAGCTTGCGCCACTTTTGTTCCACCCATAAATCTGTCCAGTTCATCACACTTAGCCTCCCAGTTTATATTTTTCGCCTTATCCACGTCTTTTTTAACTTCTCTATTCCATTTAGCGTATATTTCTCTGTCTTGAGGATCTTTGGATTGAAGCCATATGTGATATGCTTGTTTTTTCTTGAGAACTTTCTCTTCTAGTTCCGTTGACAACCATTCAGGTTTTCCTTTTTTCCGATTTTCAACTTTTCCCAGTGCTTCATTTGCCGCTTCATGAATATATTTTTTAATTACCTCATACAGACTTTCGGGGTCTAAGTCCTTTGTTTCTATATTTTTTATTTTCTGAGCTATTCTAATTTTATATAAGAACTTTGTCGAATCTTGTTTAAAGCTTTCCAGGTTATATTTTATGTTTTCTATGGTTGTGCCTATGTCTGTTATTTCATCACTTTTGTGACTTGATCATTCTGGCCCTCTAAACACCTTCACGTCCTTCGTTTTTAGTTTAGAATCTTTACGATGAATGAAATAGTCAATTATTGATTTTAAATTCCTGGTAGGCTGCGTCCATGTAAATTTATGTAAATTCTTATGGGGGAAGAAACCATTTAATATTTTCAAAGAATGTGCCTCGCAAAAATCTATTAATCTTTGACCATTGTCGTTCAGAATGTCTTCTCCATATCTCCCTATTATTTCACTGTTGGAGCTCTTTCCGGTTCTTGCATTAAGATCACCTAAGATCCAAATTTCTTTCTTCTTATTAATTGTGGCTAGAACAGTTGCTAACTTGTTAAAGTACTCTTCCTTGCTGTCAACCCTTGAGTCATCCGTCGGTGCATATGTTCCAATTACCACTATTTCATGGCCATTTTTCTTAATTTCCATGAGGATAATTCTTTCATCTATTTCTTGCCATGATTTAATACATTTTTTCAGTTTCTGATGTATTGCTATAGACAATCCTCTTTTAGCTCGTTCGCTCTTTTCTACGCCACTATAGAAATGCAGGTATTCGTTTATCTTTTCATTTCCTCTTCCTTTTTTCTTTACTTCAGTTAATACACAGATGTCTAGTTTCATTTTACTCAGTTCACGGAAGACCTCCTCCTGTTTTGTCCTTATTCCTTGTATGTTCCAAGCACCCAAATTCATAATCCATTTTCTTTGCGAATTTCGTTTATAGTTTAATCCGTCCGAATTCCAAGGCTTTTTGCTGAAATTTTTAACTTTGATCATTTTTCCGAGTATCGAGGAGTTGGCCCGATGCCTCAACCAACAACTTGGAGGACCAGGGTTTTAAATCAGAGTATCCTTCTCTTAGATAAGTTGCCTTCTCTACGGCTTAGGAGTCCTATCTACCCCACCTGTTGGTCCGCGGGTGGTATTTTATTTCCCACCTACCCGCCGGCCTAGCTGCAAACAGGCCGGTGAGGGCATTCCCCTATCCGCCACCTGGGGACGCGCTCTCTAGGGTTACAGGTTCCCCCGAGAGCCCAAGTCTTACTTACCGCTTAGAATAGTTATAATTATTAAAACAATGTCATTGAATACCTTACCTCCACTGACTTGCATTAAAATTTGGATTCAGATTATACTTACCCTCCACTTCAACGTTGGTCTTGTGCCGCTGGTTGCTTTTTATTTTTTAGGGGTGAAAAGTATTTTAGCTGGTTACCCCTATTGGAAAAAATCGTATTATAACTGTAAATTTAAGCAATTTGAAATTATTTAATTATACAGTGACATTAAATTAAGATTTTTGTTACTGTTTTAATTTTATATCATATAATTTCTACTCTTATAAAAACTACCCCTTGCAAAGAAATTCGAATAGTTGCAGTTATTTTTTTTCATTGAAATTATAAATACAATATTTGTTTAATTAATATGTTATAATTTAATTTATTTCAACTTAAAAAACAACCCTTATTAGTTTGTAAGGGTGGGTGAAAACATCATGAGCTTTAATAGCACATGATGTGTATCTTAGAATGCTTTAGTATAAGTGTTCTGATGTCTCCTAAAATATGTGATTGGTTTTTTACTCATAACACAGTTAGCTTTTAAGCTATAAAGTACTTAAAAAAACATTTTATAAGTTTTTTAAGAGCAATTGTTTTTATGAAGGTGACAGTTTTATGTCATAAAACTGTCACCTTCATAAAACAAAACAAAAAAAAACAATTACTCAATAAATAACACACATTTCAAAAATATATCTCTGGAATAAGTATAAATAGCCTTTAATAACACAATAGTATATTACATCACTTACATTTAACAAACAATCTCACACATATCTCAAATTCATTGGATCAAATCTATCTTCTCAAGAACTTCCCGTTTACTGTCAAACAACTGCAATAATAGAATTGAGTTCTCCATTCAACAATATAAAGTAGTTTCAACCATGTTCTACCATCCATCTATTAATAGAGTACCAGCATGTAAGTAATGTTTATTTTATTTATTTATTTGCTTATTTATTAATTTATTACAATCGAAGAGACTATTTTATAACAATTTGTGGGCCTTACCTTGTCTATTTAACCTTTTTTAAAAAATTTTATACCTTTTATTCAACTTACTCATTTAAATAAAACCACAGACATGTAATATTGGCATAATTATTGTAATTTACAACACCTACTTTGTTTATCGTTATTAGACATCACCCTAATATGGGTTTTTATTATTTCAGCATTTGTTTAACTTTGTATCGAGACCTGAGGATGCTTTGCATATTGTAGAAAGCGAAACCGGTCGTCTGATAGTTAAATTAAATTGATTGTGAGTAAGTCTTATTTATTATTTCTTTAC